GCACGAAGAAAAGAATTCTGGTATAATTACCCTACAGTATGGGGATGACATTGCTGGTAATAAAAAGCATAATTCTGGTTAATAAAACCAAAATATACGGTTTTTAAAACATTCATTAAGTATATTCATCGTTCGTATGGTAACAGTTTACCAAAAACTCTGATTTCCAAAACTATAGTTCATTTTAACGCATATTTGATGGTTAATAAAAAACAGAAACGTAAAGTTAACCAAATAATGGTAATTATGTCTTGCACTGAGGTATCATGATAAAAATTAACAAATTTTACTTTATTGACGGATTTTTATCACTTATTATAGAACTATGTTTTTTTTTGTTAACTTCCCACAAAGCAAGAAATACAGTACATTTTCCATATTCTGGTAGTTTTATGTCTCAAAGGCCAACTTTTTAAAAATTCCATTCACATACTTCTCTCTCTCGTTCATTTCATGCTTGTTAAAAAAGAGAAAACTAAAAATTTATAGTTTTTTTTTGTTAAATACAAACTTTACATAGTCCAAATGGAACATACAATGTGTATATATATATATATATATATATATATATATAAAGAGGGAGAGCGTCTAGAGTTCTTGCACACAGGAGATTAGGCAGGGTGGAAGAAGATGCTGTTTATTTAATCATGTTGAGAAAAAAAAACGAAGTAAAATCCTACTACGATCATACCTACTACGATCTTTTGTGTTACCTTAATGTCCATATATGTTATAAAGGGATAATTTTACAATTATAACAGGCCAGAACAATTTCTTTACGGAAAGCATTGATCATGATTCATTCTTTAATTTATTCTTAGAAGAGGATATTGACTGATTGCAATGATTTTGTTACCTACATTGACATTTAACTGATTTATATTGTGGAGGTAGGACTGGATTGTGTGGAAAATAGTGGACAATCTCTGAATTATCACTTTACTATCAAAGAAAGACTCCCTATATTAGCGTCTTGTGGTTCATTAATTCACGGCTCCACTTTGTTTTACTAGATTAACTCTGTCCTCTTGTTTTTAACTTATCCTTATTTAGTGGTCATTAGAGTTATAAAAGTTTGTTCATCTTATTATACATTTACTTAAGATTCATACCCTAACAAACAATAAGGAATCTGTGTTTTGTACCGATAACCTCTGCTCTTGGGGTAAGACCGGCATTTTGTACAGATTTAAAGATATTTTTTGCAATTTTCTTCTTTTTTTTTCGAAAAAAAAAAAGGATTAATAAGTACTATATTTTTGTAGGGAATTTTGATCCGACCTTCAGCAATCCTAAGTCTCAAGACAATTGTCTCTCTTTGAGTTCGGCCTTGACTACATTGCATGCAATTTTATGCATAATTTTGTCAAATTAAACAGAAATTTCTGTTACTTTTTTCACAGAAACTCTCAAAATTTCCTGTAGAGTTAACATTAATTTCAAAGTTTAATGAAAATTATACCTTTGTTCATTTTATTATACATGTTGTAATATTATTCATTAGATAAAATTTCATAAAAGAAAACTTTCAAATTTAAACGTGCATTTAATAACAGGGGAGTTTGTTTTTATTGTAAGGACATTTTTGGTACTTTTAGAACTTTTTTCGCTATTTTTAAGGACAATTTTAGATCCGGAATTAAGTTGTAACTTTTGCTCTATTGATACGGTTTTCTCGTCCTACGATACTCTCTAATAATACTGACTAGTGATAGGAATTAGCATCAATTACTGCAAAAATTATTTACAAATATCTTACAAAATTCTTTTTCTAACGATAAGGGCCGAATTTTGGACATTCATACTGTTAACTGAGTCAACATATCCAAAAAACATTTTTTAAAAAAATTGTTTTTAGATGTTTAAAATTAAAATTAAATCTTAAGCAAACAGTAGCTTTATTTTATTGTTTGACATATTCTAGCAATCTAAATGTAATAAACAAAAAAAAAAAACGCTTTAATTTTCAAAGTAATTTTTCAGATTAGAAGTCATAGGAAAATACAATCGTTCGTTTTAGAGGGGAGGAAGTGAAGAGGAGAACTCTTAATTATAATGGATCCTCCAATGTGAATAATTTTATGACGAGCATATTATAATAATTGAACTTACAACTTTCAACTGTGATATTATATCCTCTGTAAGTGATACTTGTGATTGTAGGTGTTTGAAGAGTATGAAAAACAAGACGAGCTTCATTTCCATAAGTCATTAATTGAGTTCCAGGTAATAGATCATCTCCACTTAGATGGACTCTCTTCGTTTCATCTAAGCCTATCTGTCAAAGAAATATTGCAAATTATGAGTTTACTTCTAAGTTATTTGCTTATTAAATATCAGTACACATTTTTTGCGTCGTTATGACAACAATTTTTATGAGTTATTTCGATCTATTTAAACAATAGACAAAAAAAAGAGGCGAAAATTTTGAAATTTTTTTTCCTTCAAAATTCATGAAATTTTCGTCAATTTCGTTTCCTGAGCGATTCTAAGAGCTAAGATTTCCTCACATTGAAAAAATTACTATTTTCTCTTTTTTGAGGATAAGAATTTTGTCAAAAGCATGAAGCCTAGAGCTGCTTATCGATCAATAAAAACTCAGTTAGGAAAAGAAGCATGGAATGAAAACTGTATGAATGATAAGTTTTCTAGTCATCATCAGCTTCTTCAATTGAGAGCACTAACCTCTTTACCGTCTTATTTGTATCATTCGAACTTCTTTTCGAAATTATTTGAAGCTTATCATTATTATTTTCCTTCAGTTTTTCGTAAATATTAAAGTACTAAATTAACAAATGAAACGAAACAATACTATCTTAAGCTTAAAAAGCCAAAATAATAACTATCTTAATAAATTATTGTACTAATTACTAAACTGTAAACTAATCTTATTTGAAGAATTAGTGAGTAAATATATCTCAAATTAATGATTCTTACTTCATCGTAAAAATAACTTTACTGATTCTCATGTGCATCGATAAATTTTAGTGTTTCTGAGCCCCAAAAATAATGGCAACTACTTTACATCAAATGAAGAGTAAAGGAAAGTATTCGGTGTTTAACTGCACCATGCTTAATTACATTTTTTGTATAAAGTAGCTGCCACCATTTTTAATGACACACAAGTGCAATGAAGATTTCACAATACCTCTAGTTTGTCTTGAATTCTCATCTCTAAGTCTACTATAGTTAACAGAAGTCGCTTCGTTGGATCAGGTGCAATGAGGGTAAGTCTACATTCATGACCTCCCAGATATGTTCGTGGATATCTTAAACTGCTGATATAAGTTTTTTCTAAAACTAGTAGCCTCCGATTCAAACAGGCAGAAACATCAACTATTTCCCAAGAAGCTGCATAACCAGATGTTGTAATCGAGGAATCAGAATGAAAGTTTAAATAGACTTTATTTGTGGGTGACATGAATTCCCTAAAATAGATTTTGATTATCACATGAAGGGGCAATAAAGTCAAAGTTATTGTTTTCATATTGGTTAATGTTAAAATATGGCAAGTAAGTACATAAATACTATGTCATAGTGATAGCATTTACATTTTCACTATGACATAGTATTTATGTTCATACTTGCCATAGATATTTATTTGATTCCAATGATGGAACGCAAATTTTGCTAGGAAAGAAGTGACAAAAAATTGTATTCTTTAATATTCTTTAAATAAATAAACTAAAAAATTCTTCTTAATAAGCTGATTTGTTGATCGAAATATACTTTACTTAACTAGTATTTTGAACAATTTCTTAAAAAAGCTTTGAAAAGATTTAGTTTTTTTTTTATCAATTTGATTTTTTATAAGTAACTTTAGATTAACTGAGTTTTGAATTTCTTTCAATTATGAGTTTCTGTTAATTTAGATAACTTAAAAAAAGTTCTGCCGAATATAATAGTGAACTTATAAAATAATGAAGGAAATCATTGTCCAAAAGCATGTCAGGGCTTTTACTGATGGATCTTCTGACTCCACCTTCACCAACGGAGGTGCGGGAGTGGTACTGCTCCTTCCTGATGATCAAAGACGAGAATTCGCAACTGGTGCTGGAAAAATCGCATCTAATTTTACAGCAGAATTGATAGCCATTTCTACGGCTATCGAAACGTACATCAATCTTGAACCTTCGGAGCAGCTTAGTGGTATCACCATCTTCAGCGACTGCAGGTCTGCCTTACAGGCCCTCAGCAAAGGTACCTCAAGCCTTGTCCTGAATATCATAGAACAACTTGGACAACTTCAGCGCCTCCGGAAAAATTGCTTCTTGCAGTGGATTCCCGCCCATGTGAACCTAGAGTTTAATGAAATAGCTGATTCCTTGGCTAAAAATGCCAGAGATCTAAATCAAAACTCAATCCCAACCACGTTGGCAGATGCAAATGCTTATGCAAAGTCAAGACTATTCACCCCTTTAAAAATCAAAGCCCACGATCAAATAACTAATCTTGACATCGATAGGAAGACAGCCACTACTCTCATCAGACTAAGAACAAAACATCATAAAAACATGAAAATTTCTACAGATAAGACTAGAAAATATCAAAACTGTGGCAACTGTCTTAATGTGGAACTGACACCATATCATGTTTTTAACTGCCCTGCAGTCGCTGCAGGCAGACCTCTTAAACTACCCCACAGAAGAGGATTTGTATTCTTTTAATGCCATAGAAATAACAAAAACTATTCAAGCACACCATGAAATATGATTCTATAGAGGATACGACACCAACCAACCATTGTCCAAAAGTAAATTCTTCGATATCACTAATCAAGATTATAACGAAATACCTAAATCTACAGCCTTAAAAAGCATATATATTAAAAATAATTATAAAATATTAAAAAAATGATTTTTTTTAATTTCAAAAATTCATTTTTAGAACTTGTTTATTTAAAATAGTGATTCTCAAAAGCAATTCAACAAAAGCTGATGAAGATAGAAATATTTGGCTTGCTTTTTAGTCCGATTAAAACTGGAGAATTTCTTTTCACGAAGTTTCGAAATTAGTTTAAAAATTCTTCAGCATATGTCAATGATAATAGAAAAAAGTTATAAAACCTTGTTGTCAAAATAACCACCATTTGAAGCAACAATGTCGATTAGTCAGATGACAAAATAAATTAACAAACGCCCATGCAAATATTTCAGTTGGAAATCTGACATGCCGCAAGAAATATTGTTTTATATTTTTTTTATCTGTTCAGCAGTGGAATTTGATAAAGATTTGATGTTTTTAAATTCAGTGAAAATAAATTAACTACTTTCGGAATAATTTTTTAAACTTCGGAATAACGCCTTTTCATAGAATTATCCCCTTACATAGGACATGAGAGAGAAATTTTTTAAATTCGTCCGTGAGTTTTAATCTTGGACACAGCTCGAAATGTGTTTTTTAAGAAAATGGACAAAGAAAAAATTCGCCTTATCAATGTTCAACTCAAATTAAGCAACTAAACGAGGAATTTCGCACTTTATTTTCCTTATTTTTTTAACACTAAGCATAATCATTAAGGGGGGCAGAGTCTCAGACTTCGGGGTCAGGTACATTACAGATGTATTTTTAATAGCGTATTCAGTAAGTACACTGAACGATAAAGAGGTAATATAAAAATATAAATACGTGCAACGTCAATCTAATATCTATTATATATTATATATTCATAGGATCTGTGATAATTTTCTAAAAAGAACTGTTGACTTTTAATATCCTTTCAAAAAAGACAAATTTTTTAAAAAAAATGTACTATATGATCTAGGCAAATGAACGTAACACATTACGAATTCGGATTCATTAGTTTATTCCTCAAAAACAATTTTCATAATAGAAGTTCGGAAACGGAATCAAAATCCATTTTTTTTAAATAGCTATGTCCATTTTCTTAAATATGCATTTTGAGTTCTGTCCATTTTCTTAAACGAGCTATCGAGCCTTTTTAATAATCACGCATTTTGAAGCAGTTCCGAAGACTTATTCTATTGAGAAGCTACTGGAGGTAATCGTGTAAGACAACAGGATCTTTCCATGGTAAATCCTGTTTTTATCTTTTAAAAGACACTACCAACTTTTCCGGACAACAATATCATTATTTTGGAGTTTCCAGATGACCTTAAATTCAGTTTTGATCTCAGATCCAGAGTTTTTCTAGACTAAAGGAAAATCTTTAGTTAGCACATGCACATGTGGCAAAGTTAGCACATGTAACAAATATAAGGGTGACTTTGCAAGTTAATTCGCCTCCTGTTGTCATGAACTCCAACATGACTAGGGATCCATTCGGGAAAATTTTTCTTCCCATTTTCATTAATATGGCCTAAAGTTTCTTTACACAAAAAACTTCTTTGGAAGAGGAGTCTGAAGCGCTCTCGAGAATTAACAACGAACACAGTGCTTGCCGAAACAAAATGCTGGAAATTGACCCCTCTTCATTTTGCTTAAATTGAGTTGTAAATCATTGGTAATTTTACGGACTACCAATGAATAGAGTTTTTTTTTCTGAAATCAAACAATGCGTTATTTAATCATATTTTGGTTATTTATTTGTTAAAGATTCTCCAATAAAATTGGCATTTAAAACTTTATTTTAACTTAAACTTTGTTTCATATGAAAGAACTTACTTCTTTTCTAGTTGTTCTCCACATACTCGGTTCCCTTCTTCATTTAAGTCAGTTTTTAGAATAAGATAGTCGTACAGGCAATCTTCTTGCCATTCAAGATCAAAGTGGTGGAAAGTTAGCACAACACGGGAATTTGGTGGACCAATGATTTCGACAATGTAATTCAAATTGTTGAGGTAATTCGATGGATAATTAACAGATGTTAAATTGCCTCTCGTTTCACTTACACTTTTGTTCAATCCATCAGGTAAAACTAAAAATGAATGAAAAATTAGATTTCCATAATTAATATGGATGTTCAATGTTCATACAGTGTTCATACGAAGTTTCTTTTCTCAAGCTTTTTCTTTAATGAAGAGCAAATTGGAAGCTTTGTAAACACTTTCATTTTACGAATTTTATAGATTTTGGCATATTAAGATAATGTTGCATTGATAAATAGGACTAAAACAAGATATCCAGAACTTAAAATTTTTCTTCTAAAATATCCCTTAGATTTTTCTTTCACTAAGCTCTTCAATTAACTTTTTATATGAACCAAAGCATAAAGTTAGGACCTTTAAGACAGCTTCAAAAATGAATTGCAGTTTTGTTATTATATAAAAAAAATAGCAAATGTTACTCATATGTTTTTAAATTAGTTAATCAGAGTTCGGTTGAAAAACATGGCTTATTTACTGCTTAAAAGTTTTCAATATTCATTATTATCTGATGAACTATATTATCGTACTTTTAAAACCTGATTACATGATAATATGGCTCCACTTTGACGGAAACATTATTTGATTTTACTTCTTATTAAGGTCAAAGAAAATTTGTGCTACACCATGTTCTAAGATACCGATAGTATTGTTCAACGTTGAACCAGTTTTTCTTAGAGTATATATACAAATACATATTTACGACAAGTGATTCACTTCGTATCCCACTTGGACAAAGAAAAAGAAATCGAATATTTAAAAAGCGAGAATAAAGGAATCGCACTGAAATAAAACTACTACTGTTAATAGCCAATCTATCTACCATATTTATAAATGTTTTGAATTATATGATGTTTAATCTATGATAGCTTTCAGTTCCGTAAACTTAAATTACCTACTATTGGAAAATACAGTCCTATTGAGGATACATCTTCACGTTTTCGTGGAGATTGAGATCAAGGGAAAGCTATACCATACAATTACATGTTTTTCTTTTTTTATCCAAAACCTATTTCCATGAAGATTTTGCAATGTGAATAGAGATGTTGACTTACTGGAAAATCCAACTTGGTTGCCAAATCTCACTGCAGCGGCAGTAACTTCCTTTGGCCAGAAAAAAAGCCAGGTAAGAAGTTAATCAATTTAGTCAAAGCTTTCCCTGCCCGTTTATAAGTCTCAACTTTGTTGTCTGTTGGAGAATATTTGCTGATCTACTCTCATGTACTTCCCACATATACGTAAAACAAGCAACTTGCGATATTAGAGAATGAAACTGTATCCCGTGTTGAAAGTTATCCATAAGCATAAGAGGGATAAAAAATTTGGATGACCAAGATAGTCTAGGGGCATTGTATGAGGGCAAGAAAAAGGATTAACCTGGTTTTCTCCGGCTGAAAAATTACCGATTTCCAAAAAATGCCAGAATTCCAGTTACTGCCATTCCTGGAAAGAGTTGGATTTTACAGCGGGACAAAGCTTCCATTCTCTTTGCAAAATATTCTCGAAAATGGGTTCTGTATAATAGGGGGTAGATCATGGAATGGCCTGCCTCGTCTCGATTCCCAAGGTGAGGGATATCCTCAATAAAGCTGTATATGGCAATATCAGATAATTTCAGTCTGTGGCAATACTTAAGGTTACCATCATTAAAATCTGGAATACTCTCGGGATTAGTAAACTGGTATACAACATCGTATATTCCAAGTCATATGATGCATATATCAGTTGAAGGTTCAGCGTGACATTTTTTTCCCTTTTTAAATTTTTATTCTGCGAGTGAAGTTACTCTATTTCCTGTTGGGGTGATTCTCGATCTACATCAAAATGAATACTTAATATTAAAAACCAAATGTTAATTAAAGGAGGTTGACTTAAACTGTTTGGCAAAGCTCTAATGGAAGAGTACGAAATGAGCAGACAATTTAATGAAATTGTTGACGAGTTGTTGAATTGTTTAAAGAAAATGTAATTGGAAATAAAACTGAATATAAAGGAATATTCTATGTCTCAGATGGCTCAAAAACTAATCACCTGGTCAGAGCAACTTCCTTGAAATACCTGGACAAAGGAATAGTTGAAGCATGGAAAGTCAGATTTAATAACAAGAGAACAATGTTCCAAGCAGAGAACTTAACCCTATTAGCAAACCTTAGTATCTGGCACTCACACACTGTAAAATCTTGAGTAATTTGCAGGTCTACACTTGAAACGGTAAATTCTGCATCCGAAAAGATTATAAGAGGACAATTAAATGTAAATTTTCTGAAAATTGAACTTAATAGGGTAAATCACGCGATAGTCTGCCACAGACATCGCAGTAAAGCATCAACACTGGTTGACTTTAAAGATAACCAAACCACAAGTTAAACCATCACTAATGCTAACAGATTGGTAAGCAAGATGGAATAATTTTGATAAAAGTAAGCTAGATAGAGAAATTTTTTCTAAAAATCCATTTTTTTTAGCTATTTCTAAAACTATATTTTATGTGAACTGATGAATTAAAATAATTTGCAGCAACCAATACCAAATTTAACAAAGTGTACTGTTTTTGCTAAAAAATTAATTTTTTAAAGATTATAGAAAATTTTAAAAAGGAAAGAAATATATTTTAACGACATTATAAATAATTCGGTAGGTAGGTAGGTATTTTATTTACGTCACACTAGAGCTGCACAATGAGCTATTTTACCGTCGTTGAAGAGCCGACCCAATTCTGGGCTTACGACTACTTAGGTTCGACTCTTTATCCTTGTAATTTTGATCCCAATTCAGAAGACAAGGGATAACCTGGATCAGTACTTCCAGAGGTATTGCTTTGTTATGGGAACTTGGTTGACTTTTTGACCCCGACAGATTTAATGTGCATCAGTCACCATTTACTACTCTGGCAGTCTTGGGCCGGCGGGGATCGAATCACAATGAGCTATTGGCAACGGTCTGGGAAACATCCATGAGGATGATCCAAAGACATGCCATCACATTTTTGATCCTCTGCAGAGTGGATGACTCCTCCGCTTTAGTAGCACAATGACCTGCTCACAAAGTCGAGCACTTTACGTTAGAACAGTTTAGCGAGGACCGAGTAAAAAATTCGGATGAGAAGATATGCTCCTTAAATCAAAAAATAATTAAATTTTTTATTTTTACTTTTAATGCTGAAACAATGCAGTAACATATATTAAAATATCAGATTTCTGAAATATCACTTAAGAAATGGGTAAGGTTTTGCATATTGATATAGGTAGGACGACCTTAAAAACTATGGCTGAATCAAATGGTTTAAAAAATGTTTTACCGATCGAGGGCTTTTGGCAAATAAATCTACCCGGATGATTGCAATTTCTAGCAATCCATCGCATAACATTGGATCCACGTAGTTGAATTGCTAAACATGAAGGAAACTCATCAGAGTGGGAAATGCCTAAAACAATAACAAAAATATATTATTAATTGACAGAATAACATTGCAGTAATAATACAACGCATAAATAATACAATACAATAATAATGTAATACAATATAATAATATAATACAATAATAATACAATTGTAGTAATAATGAAATAAATATAGCAGTATTGATACAATAAATGTTGAATACAAGGTTTTAGAATTGCAAATTCAAACAATAATTTTAGTGGAAAGCATTATTTATAATAATAAAAGGATGAGTTTGTGTGTCTGTCTGTGCGTCTTTCTTATAACTTTAGAACCATTTGTGATTTGGACTTGAAATTTGAGTAGCAAGTGAAACGGGAATTTTAACCCCTTTCCACAACCCTGAAAAACCATTCAAAATTTCAACTAATCCGTTCGGAAAAGACGTTTCAGACCAAATTTTTCTCGTTGACATAGCATTAGCCATAACTGTAAATTAAACTGGAGACGATTCTGTCTTCAAATATTTAAAAGATAATATCAGTGATGTTTGCTAGTTTATTAGTTTGCTAGTTTACTAGCTTACAGCTTCATTTATTGAAAATAAAAGAGCTTATTACAAGTTCTTTAATTATTTTTCATTCTTTATATCAAGTAATCTCAGACATGGGCCCAGCGCCCTACCAACAAGGCTATCCTGGTCTGCATGCTTTGTTTAATTTAATGATAACGTAAAGGAAGGGCAACAAATAACAATAAAATAAAAAATTGGAATTTTTATTCCTTTATTAATTGTATCGGCATATGCTTTTCAGTTTCGTGAATGATTTCTTTGTGTTGATGAATACCTAATTATTAATTATTTAGTTTTTTGTTAGTCTATACGAAGAGCACGAATTCAGTTAGTTTAAAACTTTGTGAAAAAGTGAAAAAAGTATGGCCAAAGCAACAAAAATTTGGCAAAAATTACCGTGTTTCTGATTCTATGGGAACACCAAAATGCTTGGTAATTTTTACCGAAGTGCTTTGATAATGATTTTTGTGAAATTAATAATGTTGTTACTTATGCCACTTGCTAATCAGTAAGCCCGATTGAAATTAGGCGAATTTTTAAGGTAGCCGTAAGTTTCTTGTTTTTTCCGTGGCGCCATCTATGGCCAAGAATACGACTTCAGCCTCACACAACACATCCCGTAAAATTAATAATAAAATAAGATAAAATTATTAATAAAATATTGTTTTACATTATCTGATAATATTTGTTATATGTCTTAAAATTTGGTAATTTCTCGTAATAACTTAGAGTACGGCTTGGAAACAATTTATTTGGTAAAATTTGCTCATCAGTTTTTTTATTTTTTACTAAATGTACAGTAACAAGAATTATAATTTTAAAAACGTTATTTCCGGTAAACTGTTACTATATCAAGGGGAAAATTACTAATTGAATGCTTTAAATATCGTATACTATGGTTTTGTTAACCAGAATTCCGTGAACAATTGACTCACGTTTTAAGTTGATTGTTCTTCCATCAATCCATATCCATGTATTATTGCTTGTGATATAGGCACCAACCCAATAAACAACTCCGGACATATATCCATAAGTGCTTCGAACCAAGTTATCAAGAATTGTTACTTCTTCCTCTGTTTCAACAACAGCTAGTTTGGCTTTAGCTTCTGAACATATCTGGCGAGCTGTCATCCAACTTGTTTCTGGATAATTGACTACCAAATAACATCTCTCATTTTTTAATTGGAACATCTCATTGTCGCACAAAGTATTTTGTTTGGAAACGTCTGTAAATAAATATTAATTTTAATGCTTTGAAAACAATGATTATTTTAGACAAGTTGATATAATTTTGTAAACCATATTTGTGTTCAAACAAGAGCATTTTGATAAGGTAATTTCCATTTAGGTTTCTGCATATTGTAATATTATTGAGTAGAAAGTTGTAAACTACTAATCTATAATCAATATAAAGTAACAGTTTTATGCGAAAATTTCACCTTTCAAAAAACAGTGGCTTATCATTGTATAGATCTTTTAAATTTTATTTAATAGTAGTCCTTTACGCATAAGGATAGTTTACTTTAAAAAAAGCAATAATTATAAAAATTATTTTACGGATACATAATTTCTCTTAATGTTAGTTCTTTTAAGAAGTCGTTGAAATTTAAGAAACAAAAATTATACTGATGTCATGATACTTGAAGTGTCATAATATGACGTATCAGGATCTCATATCATGATACATGAGAAGTTTATTGTTTTCAGGGAACAGCAATGATCGAGAAATCACTGGTCATTATCAGAAAATAATTATTTTTCTTGTCATTTCCTAAGGAAAGTAATGATTTAAATAAGTGTAATTTTTTTGCTATTAAACTTTGTTTTATTACCATCTGTGTTGTAAAATATCTTTTGCTCAATTTTTTTTTCGTTTCTCTGTTTCAATAATGCGGAATCGATAAAATGCGCGGCGGTTTTCATATTGAGGAATCGTGCATTAAGACATATCGGACTTTTTTTCGTTCGTGCTTTTTAGTTTTCATTGTTGCGCTTTTTTAAATGTCCGATGTATAAATAAGTGTTTACTTTTGTTTTTATTAAAAATGGGTTGTTTTCATGCACTTTTAAGTTACCAATAGGTTCTTAAAAAAATTTTAAAGCACGGGAAAAAAATTTTATATTTGCAATTGTAGTCCCAATTCTTTTTAGACAATTTATTGTAAGGTGAGCTATTGCAAGTTTAAATGTTGTATCAGTCATAATTTTTTCACCTATGTAGAATGAAGAAATTTCGAGAAATTGTGGTAAATAAATTCATGAAAGGAGAGCAGCTGAGCAGAACTCTCAGAGAGTTGGAATCTCTGGGGTGCAGATTTATTTACAGAGCTATCATAAAGCATAATGAGCTGTCCTCGGTCTATGACATTAAAAGATCTGGCAGACCGTGGTGTATTCGGACAAGAAAATACTGTGAAAAAGGTCAGGAAAAGGATACGTCAAAACGGACAAAGATCTACTAGAGAACTAACCGATCAGCTCAAAATATTGAGAGGATCAATGCTCAACATTTCGAGAAAAGACTTTTGGTGCAAGGCTTGAAGAGGAAATAAAATTCACTAACTTTCAGAGTCTTGTATGGCTCGCTGAGGATGAGTTTGTAATTTCAGACGAGATATTTACCGCTAAGTTTACAGCTAAGTCTCCACCCCCAAAATGATAGAATATCGTCGGCTTCGATTGATAACATCCCTGTGAGGTAGCATTAGGTTCCGCGTTATGAAAATTTAAAGGGCTATTTCAGAAAAAAAAGAGGCTAACTCCCCTAAGTTGTCATTGAAAAGAGAGTAAAAAGCAAAACTCAATATCATAAAACTGAGGGTTTTGAAATATTTTACTCTCAAGTGCCCAGAGTATGTATGGGGCAGAATGTTTCTGCCTTTAACAAGATAGTGCTCCTTCTCATACAGTGCGTGTTATTCAGGAGTGGTGCAGCAAACATTTATCTGTCCGGGGACGAATGGAACCCAACATCCCTGCTCTGAACCCGCTTGATTATTTTGCTTAATCATAAATGATCTCTCAACTGAATAATTATAAAATCACCAATTTTAACAAAATCAAACGTGTAATTCGAAAGATATGCCAGGAAATATTAATGGAAGACTTGCGCACCACATGTGATAGATTTGAAAAGAGACTTAAGCTCGTTAAGAAAGTTAAAGATCTTATTGTTCCAAAGCCTTTATTGTAAAAAAAAAAAAAAAAAAAAAAAAAAAAAAAAAAAAAAAAAAAAAAAAANAAAAAAAAAAAAAAAAAAAAAAAAAAAAACCTCAAGGATCGGTACTTTAATTTTCGGCAAAACTTTTCTGTATGATATAGTTAGTACTATTGTAATAAAAATTTGGAAGTGTATCAGAACTTATTGGGTCACCGTGTATATATATGACCAAAATCAAGAGAATGTCGACACTCACTGGTGAATATCAGCAATCACATAGTCGCTTTGGTGAGTGTCTGCAATTCCGAAATATTTATTATATTCGATTTGATATTCATTTATTCGTTGATATTGTATTACTAATTCGATATTTAATTTCTGCTGAGGATAAATTAGAAAAAACATCAGTGTTCGGAGTACCGGTTGAATTCATAGTGGGCAGTTGCACTTGACCTTAAAAAACACTGATGTAGGACATACCGGGCAGTGGCACTTAACTAGACCTAGTATATATTTCGGACATTTACCAAAGTGACTATGTGATTGTCGCGACATTCACCGATGGAAGTCAACAACTACCAATTTCGGTCATTTAAAGTAACATTTGTATAATAATAATGTAATTGTTTAGCATTATTTTCATTAAAAATATTTATTACCATACGTTTTAAAGTAGAAGTACATTTTTTGTTACATTAACCGATCTATATTATATCGTCCTTTTTCCCTGCCTTCCTCCCTAAAAGCGCAAATAATATCCAATCCATACAACTTACTGAGTTGCTGTACCAAAAGTAATAAGAAGTTACTAGTTTTGAAATTTTGTCGATAAAATAACAGAATGAAATTTTAATGTATATGAAAGAATAATATTTTAATAATATTAAAAAAAGAAAATCAGCCGTTGAAAATAAAAAACCCTTTAGAAAAAATGGTGAAAATAGTTTTATACGGTTAAGATAGTTTTGTATGAAGAACTAAAGAATTTCTCTTAGTAGGTGAGGAAGAAAGTTATAATTAATTAACATCTTGGTCATTCCACACTCAAAATAATGAAAAAATTGTGTGCCTACGACTTTAAACTTTTTTCGATAATTTTTCAATTAAATAAAAAAGATAAATAATTAGAAAAAAGAAAAACATTTTACTTAGTTTTTGATGAACGAGTTTTATAGTTGTGCTAAAAATGGCCTGAATTCCTTCGACTTTAATGTAGCAAAACTTACAGAAGTTTAAATATTAAGTTAAGTTTTTGACTGATTTCCTGACTAGACTATTAGGGCTTATCTATATTGAGAGAATTTTAAGGGACAAAAATTTGAGATCATTGAAAAAAAATATATACTTTATTCATAGATAATGTGATTTTTTCTCGTACATAAAAAATTTCGAATGCACTATCTTATGAGCAATAACAAATGCAAGTTAATATATATAGAAATCCGATTATTAGCTTAAACGTTATTGAGGGTTACTTCGCACAGCTGATTCACTAAATTTGAAATAAAATAAAAATCATCATTTAAAGAAACATTTTCTAAAATTTTTCTTCTTCCGTTTTTAAATTTTGAGAACTGCAAAATTTTTGTTGAAGTTTTTTAAAAGATTGAGCAAGAACTATTATAACAATAAAAGTCAATCAAATCGATTATTGTCATTATTATTGATAATACAATTGTATGTTTATTATTATTTTACTATGAACTTTGTTGTATCTCACCTTTATATGAGCTATTGTTGCTGATGAAACTTAAGAGAAATATGGTATTTAGTTCTTATATCATAAAAATTACCTTCATAGAGGGAAATCTCAACTCTGAATCCTTTAAAAGAGTGTGAAAAATCAGATGAAAAACTCATACGTAATATATGCCCAACAGAAATGTACGTCAGAAGTTTGATTCTCTTTTCCCAGTCGCCACAACGTTGTAATTTCTGGTTGCCTTCCATTATAAGAAAGACATCATATTCACAACTGAAAGAATCAATCAATTACTTTGATTTTTAAACAAACTATAGATACAGTTTTGCTGCTCAATAATAATACTAGAAAGAAAAATATGAATTTTTTGTTAGAAATTTTGGTCTTTTAATGTAGGCTTAAAAGTAATGAATTTTAGATATACACTTTTTCATATTTTCATTCGATTAAGGTATAACTTTCACCTTAAACGCCACTTTAAATTTAAGATCAAGGGCAATAATAAGAACAAAAAAGTTTAATTTCAAAAGAACTTCTCAAATGGTATACCTCATGAAGAAAAATAAAGTGTCTGAATAACTTTTGAACTTATGTTCGTTTAGCCTATATATGCTCGTTTAGTGGCAAATTTAGGGATCAAGAAGGCCAAGGAAGGGAAGTAATAAAACGGTGGCATTTTTGTGACACCCTTGCTGTGTGTGCGGTCGTGGATTGCTTGTAGAAAAATGGTTCCTGAGTGCCTTGCCATAAATAGCAACATATGTGACTGAAGGATGTCACGAACGTACCGCTGGACTTGTCATGGCGCTGTGGATCAATATTAGGTTTGAGTGTGTGTCGCATATGATGGCACCCCATATCATTATACAAGCTGTAGAAACAGTGGGCGTCTGTACAGCGTAGACAGGATTGACACCTATCCACCTTTGCCTCCGCGTGATGTGCTGTCGCTCTCAACGGGATAGGACTGCAACCGAATAGAAGCAGGTCGTCTTTAGTTATAATTCCAGATTTAATTTGGCGGTGAGGACCATCAAGTACGAAAGTGTATTGTTACGTGGTGAAAGCATCAATCCTGCTCTACCGTTTCTACAGCTTGTGCGATGGTATGAGGTGCCATGGACATGGACGCCGGCACACAGCTCTGAATTTATGTCCTCGGTGGGGGCATCTATCAGAAAAATACTGTGGCCTGGAAAACAGACAGATACAACAGTGACCTACCACGCTTCCCCCTATGATCGAGTCCTCAACCACGGGCCAGCAACTGCAAGGTCGCCACCAGAGCTACTCCCAATGTCTGACCCTATCTTCCTCCAGGATTCCTAATTTATTGTTTATTTATTATTTTACTATTATTGAGAGATACAGGTAATTTCAGGATTCAGAATATGGTATGGGGTGTAATCACATACGACACATAATCACCTCTAATAATGATCCAAAGCACCGTGGCAGACCAGTGATGCGTTTGTGACATCCGGCCACTTGTGTGTCCTGCAGCAACGTGTCAGAGCTCCCAGGAGCCAAATATTCAAAAGGTTTAGTAGCCATTTCTCAATGCTCGGCCAAACACAGAAAGGGTACCACAGGAATGCCTTCACCATATTGCCTGCCCGATCCCCTGGCCTGCCCGATCCTCAGGTTTGTCATCAAACGAACATAACTGGGACCACTTGGGACGGCAAGTTGGACAGCCTCTGAGTTTAGTCAGTTTGGGATTTTTAAAGCAACTGTGGAGCGAGATGCATCCTAATGGTCTTGTATGCTTCAAGGCCTGACCGTATCGCATCTTACATTCACGCATATATATATATATATATATATATATATNTATATATATATATATATATATATGTATATGTTTTTCAACTTTGTGTGCTTGTAGAATATATTAATTTTCACTTAAACACAAAGGTTTATATATCAAATTGAAGGTAATTTATTGTAGAATTTAATAATGAATACAGTATTACAATATCTGTATTACAAAAAAAGTTGTGCAACTAATAGTAAGATCTATCTTAGATTTGCATTTTTTTAAAGTGATACTTACACAATCAATACTTAGTAGGATAACCCTTATTTTTTAAGACAGCTTCCCAGCTTCTTTTCATTGAATGAACGACTGTTTGAAGTTCATCTTTCGTTATCACATGGTGCCAAGAATCAATTATAGCTTCAATAAGTTGTCTTTTATTGGATGGACGTTTTTTTCGTGCAAGAATTTTCAAACGTCGCCACAAATTTTTAATTGGATTGAGATCAGGACTTTTTCTTCGCCATGGTAATATATCTATACCTTTACTTTGAAACCATGCTTTGCATACTTTTGCTGTGTGGCATGGAGCTGAATCTTGCTGAAAAATAAATGGTGCGTTGTTGGTGAAGAGATCCCGGATGGAAGGTATCAATTTTGGTTTCCGGACAGTTTCGATGTATTTTTTGGCATACAGGATGCCAAGAATCACTTGAATTCGGTCCACACCTTCTGCAGACATACATGCCCAAATCATAACATTTGCTGGGTTTTTTGTAGTTGCTTCAATGCAATCAGGATGAAGTGCTTCAACTACCAAAGAACGATATTTTACTCTCATCGCTCCAGATTACTTGCTTCCATTGATTTTCTGACCATTTAATGTGTTCTTTTGCCCACTTAACTCGTTTTTCGCTTTGCTTTTGATTTAAATATGGTTTTTCCTTGGAATTGTAGCTTGTAGTCCAAATCCTGATAACCCTCTTCTTATTGTTCTTGAACTTACTGTAATACCCGCTGCATTCATTTCACATCTAATGGTATCTGATGAAGTTTTTCTATCTTGAAGGCATAGCCGTTTAATTTTTCTATCGGCGGTAGCACTTGTGCATTTTTTTCGGCCTGATTTGGCTTCATTTTCTACTGATTTCGTTTTTTCATTACGTAAACAGAACTTTCGTACACCAGAACAAGTCACTGAACCACTAACTTGCCTTGCAATTTCAGCATAAGAGATGCCATTTTCTCTCAATATGACAATTCGGCTTCTTTTTGTAGATGTCCAATTAGTTCTTCTTGTTGATGACATTGTTTAAAATTAGTTTAATTAAAGGAAAGGACTTTGAAATTAAAAAACTCTATTAAATGTATTTAATTGTACTAGTATGCATCATTCCGCAAAATATTTCCACAACGATAACTCTTTTGCCATCCAAATAACCTAAACTGTAGTTACAGACATTTGATTGGTCCTAAGAACAGTGTTTGTGATTGGCTAGTACGCTTTTATTACAAGACACGTCTTTATTCAAAACGATTTATGTTTGTTTGTTCTACTAAAATAGACATAACTTTTTTTGTAATACAGATATTTTAATTCTGTTCCTGTTATTAAATTTCACATTAAATTACCTTCAATTTGACATATAAACTTTTGTATTTAAGTGAAAATTAATATATTCTACAGGAACACAAAGTTGAAAAACATGAAACTTTCAAAAAGTGTCCACACTTTTGGCCACCACTGTATATATAGGGCACTCGGTATGTTCATGTTCTGGAAATTATAGGAAAAGAGTTCATTCAGTAGAGAAAAAATGCTACCTGTATGCTGTATTATGATCAAACGTATATGTGTTTCAGTGAATACCTAGTGAACGTATGTTACACAACTCTTTGAAATAATGTAAAAAGTGCTTTTTTGAAAAAAAAAGATTGAGAATTAATGGTTAAGCAGAATTGATGATTTTTAGTTTGATTAACAAACTTTTAAAAAATGCATCACTTCAAAACAAAGTATTAACATTCATATTTTTAATGAATACAAATGTCTTGTTTTGCTAAAATAAGTTTCAAAATTGAAATAAATATAATCTTTTTGAAAAAAGTGCAGGAGAGTGAACGAGAGTTAAAGGGTTAGATTAAGGGAACAGTTGGTCGGTCTGTCATGGAGTCCCTTTTAAGGGAAGAGTTGGTGGAAAGGTGATCATGGAGACTACTTTAAAGATGTTCTGAAAAAATGTATTTTTTTTTTTTGAAAAAAATTTTTTTGGTTAATACTTTATGTGAAGAACGCACTTTTAATAAAATCTTACCTTTCACTTTTTTCTAAGACAAAATCAGAAAAAGAAAGAGTAATCCTTTGTCCAACGGGTGCTGATACATAATAATGGCATTCAATATTATTAGGATAATTATGAGGAAAAGAAGGAGATGTTAGAATATCACGTGGGTGTTCCCAGGTAAGATTGATTGTTTTGTTGCATTCAGGTAAAGATACAGTCTCCAATTTAACTAAAATAAAAGAATAAATTAAAAACTTTTTACAATTCTGAAATTATTACTTTTTAATTGTTGGAACTTATCAACTTAGATAATTTCAGAAGAATGCTATTTTTTACACGTTAAATAATTTCCATTAATCAGCTTACTTTTTTGTGTGTTTAATCCAGGATATATTTTTGAATTTACTTAAATGCTTGAATTGTAACATTAAACTATATTTACTCAGACACGATTGCTTCACAAATAGTTGATTGGCTTTCATTACATCACAAAATTCATAACTAGAAAGTTTTAGCATCTTTAACTTTTAACATTTAGCAGATAGTGAAAGTCTATAATTCTCCACAAACCAAATTTGCTGGAATCACAGTCAAAATACCATAGTTTTACAGATTATCTAGTTACACATAGTTAAAAAAAATATTTTCAAGTACAGTCTCAACTATTATTTGAAACTACTTCGAAATTGTTTCTCTTCCGTAGTTACTTTTTCAAAATTTCAGACAACCAAGTTTCGAGTTATGTTAATTTCGTGTTTTACAATGCACAAAGCACAAAAATTACATTAATAACTTTTGACGTAATGATCTAATTTTCAAGTATTAAGACTCAATCTTAATGGGTTGAGGACTTAAGCTTAAATATGCTAATTAATTTGTACAGAAGCTACTTTTTAAGTTACATGATCAGCCACAAAAATGCACTTTCTTTGACATAACATATAAACATAAACTTTTTCTACAAATTCGAATTCTTGACCTTTATAATATGGAGTAGGAGTGTAGATAATTGCAATATGAAAAAAAAAAAAAACAGATTTAAATAGTTTAGGCAAGAAAGACGTCGAAAGTTTAGACCCCTTTATATTAGTTTCAAATTTTGTGTATTTCGCCATGTCAAAGAAATCGTTATTTGAAGTTCTTTCTCAAGACTTATTTGGCCAATTCCCTTCAAATTTTAGATTTTATCATTTAAAGTTACATAAATTGAATTGGTGGGAAAATATGTATAATTTTTCATTAAAAAATTCTCACTATTCGAAAACAGTAATAAATAATTAAAAAAAATTTTTTTTTATATGTTACGATCATTAGCTAAACAAGGTTTAACTCTCTGCCAAATTTTTTGACTTATTTTATTAGTTTCCGAAATGTTACAAGTTACGCAAAAAGAGAAATTAACATTAACAGGTCCAAGCTTTCGGCAGCTCTCCTGTCCTAACGTGGTTTTACGAAGCTCGTTCATCAAGGAAAATAAAAAGAACCACAGTTTAAGTGCCTTACACTAGAAGCAAATTTAAATTCATAATTTTTATCTGTATATGCCATCCTGATGTAAAAAATTATCTGGACGTAAAGAAGGGACAAAAAATTTAAATATTTTTAAAGTGATTAAACTTTTTTAAAAATCACCAATTTGGTGACATTTTTCCATAGACAAAAATGATCATAATTGCCTTATTCGTAGTTTTTGCTTATTTTCGTGAACCAAGAAAATGCGGTATTGGAATATGTTTTTAAATATAAAAAATTAGACCACAAACACTTTTCATTTTCTCTAAACTGTGACTTTTCTATATATTGACGAGTTGTACCATTTTCAGAATAAGAATAAAGCGCTGGCTAAAGACAAGGTTAAAGAAAAGAGAATGGCTAGTTAGAGCTGAAACTACGATTTCTCTCCTCATGACGTAACACCGCAAACAGATTTCGGAGATCAGATCGCAAGCGAAGATATTATGAAAATTTTGCATCATTTTCTCTGTAAAAATAAGTTAGATTTTTTTCTTGATGTTAGCCTTTAAACTTTACACTAAAAACACACTATTTCAGCTCAAAAGCTTATTTAAAAAGTTTTTTGACCATAATATTAAAATAAATACCATTTTAAACTAATAAAAAAATTTTACTAATTGCCGTAAAAGACGCTATAAATACTTTTTTTTTTAAATTTTCAGTTTTAACTTTTATTTTTAAAGCAAATTTAAGTATATATCGATACTTATATATTTCATTTTTTTACACACATATTTTTTTTAATCTACATAAACTTTCGGCACAATTTTTAATCAAATTTAAAGTCTGGAGCACAAGATGATTTTGCGCACCATCGCTTTAACGTACTAGCACTTGGTAGAGGTAGGTCAATTTTAAATTTCCAAAAATCATATGCTTTTGAGGAAAGAGAACGTATAATAATACGTTGTGAAATGTCCTCAGTTGTCCACCTGACATTTGAAGTACCCTTGATAAAAGATTGTATTTGACCTCTTGTAAAAACTTTTTTTTTTACACTGTTTTCAAATTATGCATTTTCTTAAAAGCTTGTTCCTATTTCAACAATTCCCTTCTTTGCTCATAATTTCCGTTTCAGAATTTTTTTTTCTGGATGCGTTCCACCGTTTCATACCCTGAATTGATATGTTTTTTTAAAAACTTCATTTCTTCATTATTTTTATTTTTTAAATCCTTTTATAAGGTTTCAATTCTCTTTTTGAGTACTTTAATTTCTATTTCTAATTTAAAGCATTTGTCACAATTTGTTGTACTTAAAAAAATTTTATTCATAGTATTTAAATTGCTTTTCTTTGGGCTTAGAGTTTTTAATTTGTCCAATGCACGAACCAACACTTTGCGTTTATTCAATCTTTCTTGACAAGAAGAAATTGTTTGTAAAGAAGAAAAAGGCAAATTTATTCTCGGTATTGCAAAAGGTTTTAAAATCATTCCAATCGGCAATCCAAGCAAACGATTTCTCATATCTTCATAACCTTCTTCCAAGAAATGCTTACTGCATATTCGTGCATATTTTATATTAACTGGATCATTTCATTTGCAACGTTGAAGCCATTTTTTACATAGTTGTTCATTTACTTTAGGGAACACATGGAAAATTACATATTTTTCTTTTGTGTTTCTATCAGAAGCTTTGCGAGTTGTAATCGCACAAACTGGCATTTCGTTAATAATTTTGAATTTTTGTAATTCACTTTAAAAAACCGAAGAAAATCATTATGGAAAACAACGAATGTCTTGCAATACGTCTCAAAGAGGAATGCTCCAATATTATTCAAAGTTGGTTAGTCCCAACGCTCCGTTCTTGAAGTAAAAGTTCAAGCTTTGCACCACCGTGACGTCACATGCGAAAATCTTACGTGTGGATCGGCGAGATTTTCTTCAAAGGAGAGTGAACCAGCCCTTCTATTCTCTCTTTAGTCCTGGACTAAAGATAGGCTAAACTTGACCTAACAATCATGAGTAACTGTTGCAAACTGGGAGCAGTTATGAAAGTAGTATATTATTCGAAAAAAAAGTAATTTCATACGACGATGGAGCTTTCGAAAAACAGCCTTCACTATGGGGATCTAATTTCAGAGATAATGGCGGCTTCTAATGGGGATCAAAAATCTTAATCCGTTGATAATAAAAAGGAATGTTTATTCAGAAAAAAGTACGTTTTTAAGTCTCATTTCGTAACTTAAAACATCATCTGCACCAATGAATTAGCATATTTAAGGTTAGGACTACGCACCACTTAAAATAAGTCCTAGTACGTGGATATCCGATTAAATAAAAAGTTATTAAGGAGTTTGATTTTTTGCGCACTCAGCGTTTCTCAAATGATAAAGAAAAAAAGTGTGACGAGACTGGTAGCCACTATTTCTTCAATGTATGACAACGCTAATTTGAAGGTCAGCTGAAAGATGTATTTGAATATTTAATATTCGTCTGATAGTCTTAACATTCATCTTATAAACTTTTGTCAGTTTTGGGAATTAGAGATTTAAAACTTTGATTCCTTTAAAGATGTTAAATTTTATTATTGATTTATATTATAATAAATATTTAACAATTTCTTTTAAGCAAAATTTTTTGTTTGACGTAAAAGAAGGAAGCATGTTTTTAATTCATAGTCTTTGTGACGAATGATTAGTTAACACTTATGTAACTTTATTTATCTAGGGCTTAAAAAAAGTGTTGCTGAATATATAAAACTAATCAATAAATCCTCGCCAAACATTAAATTTTTAAACCCTAGACATTTTTGCACTCCAGGACATTACCTCGCACACCACTGAAAAACTAAGTTTGTCCGAGATAATTCTGGATATGTGGTTAGCCTAACTATAAAATGCTTGGTAAAAACGGAGGAAGTAAGCAGTTATTAGGTAAACTACAGACATGTGAATAATAATAACAAAAAAACATGAATTATTTTACTCAAAAGTGCCAACAGTCTTTAAAGACATAGATGTAAAGTGTTAAACAAAACAAAAATTAGTTCCTCAACATAAACTTCAAGGTGATACAAAAACTGTAATTGAAGGTAGGACAAATCGCAATTCATGACGGGAAATGTCTTAATGCCGCTAGAGCTGCCAATTCTTTATGGACTGCTTGTTAATGCTCATTTGAACAAAATAAATCTAGCTCCTTCCCTTATGAATCTAGATTATACTAGTTTTATAGCGTAAAAATTGTCTTCCAAGAGGTTTAGAAATAATATTTTTAGGGATATTTCAAATGCATCTTAAAATTGTTGAATATCAGCGAAACATATATTAAGAATTATTAATTACATTTATTAAAAAAGCTATTACCTCCCGGTTTTAATCGTTGGCAAATAAAAGGATTTTCCACTAAGCAATCTCTATCATTCCAATAAAAGCGTTCAGTCCTTCCTTCTCCTTTACTTGGATATTTAAAAAGATTTCGAAGTTCAACACAATTCTGATGAGATAACCCATCATCACTCGGTTGCAAACCATACCATCCGTATTTTTCCCACCCAGGAAACCAATCTAAAAACAATTATTAAATAATGTTAATGCAACATCCAGATAATGTCATTGTAGAACAGTTATGTGAAGTACAAATCTAATAGAAAAAGCTACAGCACCTGAAACCTAAAGTATAATCTAGCTATATTGCTGAAAAAGATTGCTATCACTTAAAACCGATAAGCCTTTCAAATGCTTAAATGGTTTTTTAAACATTTGGATAATAATAATAATAATAGACACAAATAATCGGAACTTTAGATAGATTTTTTTTATAACAAACAATACATGATGAGTACTATTTTTTAAATAATTAAAAAAATGGTAACGTTCAATACTTTTTTTTGTTGAAAAACTGAATTTTTCTTACAATGTTTTTTTTTTTTTTTTTTTTTTTTTTTTTTTTTTTTTTTTTTAAATGGCGGGCACTTGGGATATATTGTCCCATTGGCCTCATATGCCAGGACTGCTACTCTCTTCTCGTTACCCAGTGGACACCTGTGGCGAAGCCACGGCGGTGGAGCAGCGTCTCCCACGTCACACAACCACAAACCCGTTTATAGGGCGGGTCACATTCACACAATCACACACAAAAAGGAGAAAGGACATAGGACAGAGAGAGAGAGAAAAAAAACATCCATGCCCTGAGCTGGATTCGAACCCGCAACCATCGGCTCCGCAGTCAGGCACGCTAACCATTCGGCCACCTGGTCGGTTTTCCTACAATGCAACTTTGCTCCATTTTTATTTAAGGCGATGGTTCAAAATGGAAGAAAATGAACAAATATGAGTAGAATTTTATTTATCAGAAATTGAAGCTTACACCAGAGATCAAATGACCGGAATTTCATGTATTTTTACTTAATCTTAACAGTTCTATTGAGGTTGACTTTAAATGAGCTAATTAGTTAAAGCTGACAGTAAATAGAGTCTCAACATCTTATACAAAAGAGATACTTTAATTTCTAAAGTCTCTTCAAAATAAATGTACGGGTGGCAAGATTACAAAATAACGAGCGTGCAATGCTGCTCCTTTATAATTTCAAACTTCCTTATGGGGAGTGGATCATTGTTTTTTTTTCCTTTGCTGGTCTTCAAAGCTTCGAAATGCATCATTTTCCCATCACTGATATTTAAGGCAAAATTTTATTGCCTGGTATTTCCAACATTGATGACTTTAAAGTAATTCCCTGTATATACTTGTCTGGTGTTCCTTACACTGAACAAGTTCAATTGCCCAGTATTTCCTATACTGACATTTTTTTCTAATATTAATTGCGTAAAACTCCTACCCAACTTCGGGAAATTTTAAAATATTTTCCAACTACTCAAAATTAAAGGAAATATATATAATAATATTAAAAATAATTCAAAGTGTGTCAAACTCGAAATGTCTAAATTCTTTTAAATGCATTTTGTTTCAAGAAAAGTAATGCTTTATATACGATTCTGTCTGTTTTATTTCTGTCTTCCGTTACTGTTTCAGGTAAAATGCTGACATAGATTCCGTACCCTTCCCCACTTGTAACATATAAGGAGCAATCCACTTCTATAGGTAGGAATTAGAGGATCTCTTGTTGTTTTGTAATCTTCTGATGGGAGAAATTTAACCAGGAAAGTTTTAAAATATCTTGTTGTTATTTTTGTTTTCTGGATATTTGTTGTGCGAATCAAAAGAGTCACAAAATTCCAAATAATACAAACTTATTTTATTTATCATCTTTTATTGTATACTTTTACAATGATCAATGAATTTTAAAAATTTTAATTCCCTAAATTATAATAAAAATTCCACTTGAACTGAAATAAAAAGGATTAAAAAGTGATTATTTTCATAAGAATTCTATTAGATTATGATAAAATATCTAAATTGCTTATCTGAAGTAGACTTTTTAGCATTTCAATAATATTAACAGTGTTTCATATTAGCTTTTATTTCTTAATCCAAGGTTTATAGTCTGGATTCAATCCATCAAGGATAAAACTTCATATTAAGATGTTAAATTAGACCGTGCACTCTGTATGGGATTCACGTACCTCCGATAGCCATCGAGATAAAAAGGAAACCTGATAGGTGAGTTTTTCACGGGAAAATGTATTTCACCAATCAGATTCTCATTCTCGATTGGTGATCGGAAGTGCGTGAATCACATGCAGTGAGAATGGCTCCGTAACAGGGAGAAAGGCGAAAGTGGTTCAGAAAGAATGGTTTAAGTTTATTTTGAATAAACGAGATGTTTTTTCTCTTTTTTTTCGATTTTGATTATTTCTTTAATTTAAAGCTTATCTAGCGGTTTCTACGGTATTTCTTTCTGTCATTGTCTGATTGGTTTTTTAATGCATGCTTTTATACAAACAAAAGGAGCAAGATAAATGTTTATTCAAAATTATATTAAGAGGAGTTGATAGGCAGCGTTCATTTGTTGATTATAATTTCCATTGATTATGAAGTTGTTGCTCAAATATTTATTTTTCTTGCTTAATAAACTTTCATGTAAATGAAAATATCACTCTTGAATTTTGCTTGCTTGGCAATTTTCCACTAGGCCATAAATTCTGCTAGTAAGACACTATCATGATTTGGAAACAACGAATGGCATAAAAATTGCGAGACATCAACAATAAACATATGCATAACTTACATATAAAATCAAATTCTTGTCCGTCAGCCCATTCGTAGCAATTTTCATATCTCAGGTCATTGGCCCCAATCCAAAATGCTCTGTTTTTTTCAAACAAGGGTCTGAAAAATAAAAGTTGATTTATTTTTGCGCCAGTAAAATGATAAATATTGATCTTAAACTAAAGCCTCATACTTAGATTTTATGTAGGGTAACCCGTAATCACCACCCTTAATATATAACTTTTGAAAACTAGTCAAAAATGAAATTAAAAGTGAAATATATATATTTTAAATTGCAAATACATATTTTAGAGAAAAAGAAAAAACCCACTATGAAATCTGCCAGATTATTAGAGGAACTGAGAATATCAAAACCAGTTTGATTGCTTGTTGAAACTTCGTACCAGTTCTTACTGCATCCGATCTCTTTTCATGAGCTTGCGCAATGTTTAGAAACTACATGTAAGAAGAACTGCTGAACACAGTTAGAATGGAAATGTGTTTCTAATAGTCATAATCATATTGTAGTCATGATTATATTCGTCGCACTAGAGCTGCCCATTGTGCAGCTCTAGTGCGACGTAAATAAACTACAACTCAACACTTCTTTGTTTCTTCCGGCAATCAAGCAGGTTTTCATAGTTTATTTCCTTCTTCTTTACTATTAATAAGATATTGGTAGCATTTTCATTATTTCCCAGCTCGGAAAGCCCCCCTAATATAGCACATTTATTATTCAATTATAATTAAGGATTCTAAATATGTATAATAAAAGCAACCATTATTGAACACATTACATTGTAATTTATGAGAACAGTCTCTCCCCCTCTCCTATAACTTCATAGAAAATTTTCTATTTTCAATTTACTTCGTCATATCTCAAACAATGTTTTTAGGTATTGTATTACTTATTTAATTATAAAATTTGTACAACTGTGTAAACAGTTATGAGTCTTGGTACCATTTTGAATTAGAAAAATTTAAAAATTATCTCATTAAATTTTACAAGCTCATCTATTTGAGATTAGTTTAAGATTAAAGCATACTTCAGTGTGAAACAATCATGTATGTTATTCCTTATAAAAATAAATATCCAGCTGTTTATAATTATAGACTGTATAAATTTTGCAATATAAGAAATCTTCAAAAAAGTTTCGGCAGTTTTCTGGTGCTAGTTTTGTTTTTATACTATGTTTTTTCGACCCCGAAATGACCGATGTTAGAAAATCGGAATAAAAATTAACAGTGATTTCATCAAACCAAATTTCAAAATTAGTTGCAAAGTTCTTCGGCAGATGGCACTGTTAACTTTTAAAACTTGAATTGTGGAATCAATAATTGAAATGCACGATCGACTCCCATTCCAGATTTTATTGAGAGCTTGACTCCGACTCATATTCAGTAAAAATTTCCACCAAATCCCAGGAAAGAATTAATATTATTATTAAGTATTAGTTAATTTAAAATTTCACATTGCTATTTTTTTAAGTGCGATTAATTAAAATAATAAACTTTGTTTGAAATTGCATTTTGTATTATAACATAGCAGTTGAATAAATAAAGTTTAAAAAATGCATTTGTTCAAAATATTGAACTTGAACCATACCATTATCCGAAAAAAAAACTACACATCAAAATCGTATATGCACACCCGCACAGCATATCTTAACATCTTATGACAAAAATATTAGTGAATTTTCGTGAACTAGGAAACTGTTAAAAAAGGATACATTACATTCAATCATAAATTTTTTTATGTACTTTAGTAACTAAGCTAAATAAATTTGGTTTTGGAATTTTTAAATTAAAAGATAATTCATTTGTTAATCTCGAGTTTTGAATAGTTACAAAGGTTTTCTGCTGCTTTATCAATAGCTCGGTTAAACATGGGCTCAAAATCGTTCAAATGTGATTATTTAAGTTTGTGATAAGTACTAATTTAAATAATCATTATAAAATTCATTCCAGCAATATTTTTGTTTATTTATATATAATTTTGATCAGATCTGAATCTTTTTTCCCTCTTTTAACCCACTGTACCTAACTTTTAACTAATCGGAGTTGAAAAATTTTCCGACTTCTGCAAAGTTTTCTCGTCGAAATCGACTCTTCAGCTCTGATAAAAACTACAAAACAATGATTTAAAAATAACCACAATTTGAAGCATCAACGCGGAGGACAAAATGAACAGTTGGTTTAATAAAATCAACCAGAGCGAAGTATAATCAAATCGGTGAGCTTTCGCAGACGAATTTACTTTACCAATCAGGTTCTCCCTCGACGGTTATCGGAAGTGCATGAATCTCATGCAGTGGGAATAGCCCTTAAGAGGACGCTATACTTGTATGAGAAACTTTTCACATTAAATTTTCTTTCTCTTACAGAAATACAGTGAAACTTCCCCCGAAAGACCATCTTTATGTGGTAGTCACCTTTATTTACGACTACTTTTGTAAGGCACTGAATTTTCCATCGTGTCCATTCCATCATCGACCATTTTACTGTAGAACGGAGAGTGGTCACTGCCGAGAGGATTTACTGTAATTTAAAATGTAAAGTATAGAAATAGTGAGTTTCGGTAACCTAGTCATGAAGTTTTTAAATGCTTTTTTTTCAAGATATAAAAATATAAAGAAATTATATCAGGATTACTTAGGATTATGCAGTGGAGAAGTTATCCTGCAATAATTTTTTTGTATTTTGATAATGTGTAAATATGTTTTCTGCATTTAAAACTTCGTGGTTTACCAGAACTTACTTTTCTCAATATTGTAAATTTGAAATTACTAATTTAGGTTTAAAAGAATTTAATACGATTTCCTCCCGTGGTATGGCACCCTCTTAAGAGAATGACAGTGTTGTTAATAATGTTTCGCATTGTTAATAATAATAATTTCCAAAATACCCGTGATATGGCGTCCTCTTAAGAGAATGACAGTGTTGTTAATAATGTTTCTCATTGTTAATAATAATAATTTCTAAAATCCAACAGATGGCGCTCTGCTCAGTAATGTATAAGGATTAATTGTATTCAGTTTCCTCTATAGTACCATGAAGAAAACTGAATACAATTAATCCTTATTCATTCATCTGGTGGATTTTAGAAATTATTATTATTAACATTGAGAGATATTATTAACAAGTGTGATTAAGTTCTGAGGATTATTAAGAAAATATATTTTTCGTCTTAATAATTAAGATAATCAAAATGTTCTTACCCATATTTGATTATCGAATCGATGAGTTGAGCAATGCTGTTATCTGTGATACTAGCTAAATGACCGTTTCTTGCTTGGCAAGCTTTTGCAGCTTCTGTCCATGTTAGTTTCTGATCATAAACTTTATAACAAAATTTTTGTCCCGATGTCCACCCAAAAAGGCAATCACTAAATAATCTAACATCATTTGGAAGCGCTTTATAAGTAGCACAAAAACCTTTTTGAGCTAAATCAGTGAGAATGTCTGCTCGGATGTATAAATGATTGCTTTTTGTTTGTAATGTGTACGTATTTATTTTTTCTTTTAGAGTATCGACACATAAATTCAATAGCACTTGATCACTCGTTGTTGAAATTTGGAGTGAATTGTTAAGACAGAAGGCACCATCAGAAAATCCTAAGACACTCAATTCCAATTCTATGGAATAACCTAAAGGCACATAAATGAAATAGGAAATATTGCAGCCGAAAAAAATTTCCGGATAACCAGAATTACAAAAATGGCCAAAAGATTTATCTGAAAAAGTTCGGTTGGAGCAAGTGGAAAGAAATTCATATTTGAGCTGGACATTTTTTATATTCCCTTCTGATTTAATTTGTAAAAAATTATTTTCTGATATGTAAAATTCTGATGAAGAGCAAGAATTCCTAAAAAAAAAAAGAAAGCAACACAGTCAGTTATCGAAACATGAAACTCTAAAAATAGGAAAATGTATGAGTTCTTTGATTGAATTATAAGAAATTGAGCAAGGGTATAAAAATATTTAGAGCATAAAGGCCAAACGAGTTATAAAAAGAATAGAGTTTATAAAAATACTATATTTTGTACCAACAAATTGTTATTATTTTTTTTGTGTAGTATGAAGCATAATTTCAAGTAAGGCAGTGTTTTCAAAATGTAATATTAAGCATAACCTCAAATGAGGTAATGCTTACAAAATGTAATTGGAAGCATTATTTAATTTTACAATTTCGAAGCATTGCTTCATTTGATATAGAATCAATGATTGTGAATATATTAATCAATGACATACATTGTAATTGCCATTTTTTTCAGAAAAACGGTGCTTTTCCGTAAATATTACCCTTAACTATATACAGTATCTGTACATAAGAAAGTGAACAAAAAACCGTAACATTGAAGGGAAATAATTTTAAATTACATAACTTATGTTATACCTAAAAATTCGCGATCAAGGAGTGAATGACTAAAAAATTAAGATATCAGAAATTAAAACTGATTGCAATTATAATTGAACTTGAAATCCTTTTATTGTTTTATTATGTGTTTGCTTAGTAGGCTCGTCACAAGATGGATCGCGATATGTAATTAAATTCCCTTTCTAGATGAAAACTTCCTTAGGAATATGAGCCTATCCCTAAGGAATGGTAATTCGCTGAGGACGAATATCGTAATGGGAGTAAGACCAATGAACAACAATTGGTTCACCCAGAGCTAGTTTCGAAAAAGAGTGATTTTCAGTTCAGTCTAAGTTTTTCCTTTCAGCCAGATGTCTTGTTTTCCGACCGACAGTCCTACCTTGATTATCATCAGGCACGAGCGGATAAACAACTTTCATGATTTTTTTTTGTTTTTTTAATTTTATTATGTAGGTTTCAAGAAAAGATGTTCAACTGGTCCTTTTTCACAACAAGCTTTGCTTTGTGTATATTTGAGAAGAAAAGGGAAACATCTTTGTACATTTAAAAACCGATTTTCGCTTATATTCAGGACAAAAATATGGCATTTGTGATAAAAATATATACATTTTTGCTTTAAGCTCGATTAGCGGTTAATTTAGTTACGTCACAAAGTAAAAACTCAACTATTGTGTAATAATTATTAATCCAGAAGATTTTTTTCTCGTAATAAACTCAAATTGAATCTCAATTGGTTGATTTTATTAATTTAACTTAATTCATGACCTTAACGTAGACCTAAGGATTACTCATAGTTATTGAAATAATTAAGTACATGATAAGAATATTAATAATAATGTTGCTTCTCTTTGTCTCCTGTCAAAATTGTTTCATGATTTCTTCGATCAGTTTCGATAGAAGACCCTGTGGCACGTGATTCATTTTGCATAGGCACGGTACAATTTGTGGCATTAAAATATACACATGGTAGCTAAAATCATATTTAAATTACTTTCAATTGTTTGCCTAAATTTTGATGGCCTAAACATTAATTTTAAAATGTTAAGCACAGCACAATTTTATTACTTTTAAAACCGCTAAGCGAGATTGAGTGAAAATTAGATTTATTTTCAGATAAAATACATGTCACATATAAAACCACTTGAAAGTAAATATAAGCACTTTTAAATCCTTAAAAGATTAATAAAGTATCAATACGAGTTAAAAATTTTTCTCCAAGTGAAAGCAAGTTTAAAAAATTTTAATTATAACACCTCTAGCATTCGACATTGAAAAAAGTTAATTGAATAAATGGTATCTGCGACGCAATCGATGCCCGTCTGAAAGACTTAGACAAAATATGTCCTAGAACCTTAATGTTTACGCTTCAATGTAAATATCTACATTTAGCATTGAGCGGGGTCGAATGTAAGGTTCGCATAAGTTTAATTTGATTACAGCAGAGAAAAGTTTAACTTTTATATAAAAAAAGGTGGCAACGTTCAGATACGTAAATAGAACGCTTCGCTTTAATATATATGTCGCTGTGTTTATTTTTTTTCATTAAATACTTTTATAAAATATCTTTTCGCTTCTTTATTATATTTCATATTGACTAAATTCCTTGTCTTTCAACTTTACCTTATATATATATATATATATATATATATATATANATGAAGATAAAAACAAAGGAAAATTATAGACATATGAAAAGAGGGGGGGAAAGAAAAATAATAATTAAAAAAATGACAAACAACTATATATAAAACAAAATAAATAAATTCAAGAAAACACGAAGAAAGTTAAGAAAAACAATAAGTTTCAATTATTGCGCATAAGCTGCAAGTAAACAGAACTCAATAGATAAGTTCAAAATTAAGATGAAACAAAGGAAAATTATAGACATATGTTAATGAAAAAAAAAACAAACAACAAACTGATTAAAAAAAAAAAAAAAAAAAATAAAGGATGAAATTTTTTTTAAAAAAACCGGAAAATAAAAGATATAATCTTTTGATCAGCCCACACTATTATATCCACAAAAAAGAGTGCTATCTGATATTGTATCAATATAGCCAAAGCCAAATATATTAATACAATAGTGTGAGGAGCACTCAAAATTTTTTTACAAAAATTACAACAAATAAAATAGAACACAATAAGTAAAAATAACACTCAAAAACAGAAAACAAAATAAAATAAAATAAAAAGGAAAAAACAGTATTAAACAAAATCTTTAAAGCGAGTAGAAAAATCAAATGTACTTACATGAACGAGAAATTTTTCAAGATTGATTTAAAGTATATTCGCAGCAAGATTGCCAGATTATATATTGACAGATTGCGGATATAATCGTGCGGGCTGATGAAAAGATTATATCTTTAATTTCCGGTTTTTTAAAAAAATTTCATCCTTTTTTTAATCAGTTTTTTTTTTCATTAACATACGTCTATACTTTTCGTTTGTTTTACTCTATTTTGAACTTACTTATATATATATATATATATATATATGCATTCTCCGGTGAATGTCAACATTCACATAGTCGCTTCGGTGAATGTTCGAAATATTTCTTATATCCAATTTTATATTAATTTATTCGTTAATATTATTATATTTATTTGATACATTTATATTTATTTGATATACAGTGCCCGCCGTTTATTGAAATCACTTTCGTTTTATGCTCTTTTGATTTTATTAAGCGGCTGATTTTATTAAGAGGCGATTCAACATTTGAAAAAAAAAATTTTTTTTTACGATCTATTCTAAATGCACACACTTTTAAATTTTAAATAATGACCACATTAATGCTTTATTTTAACTAATTTAATTATTTTAATAAAGTAAAACCCAACATAAGATTAAATTTACAAAAGTTTTGCAAAAAACCGATCAATGGTTGCTTGAGTTGCAGTATTTAAAATTAACTTTTCAACATCATTTGAGAGTTTATAGAAGTTTTTATAGTTTTCGATATTCCTCCTCTTTGTTTTAAGGCTTGCCGCAATACATTAAGTGCTTTTCTGACTTCCATTGAAGATGGCACTAATGAGTTCATTTCATCTTCTGAGTCTGATTCCTCCATTTCTTGATGGGAAATAACTTTGCAATTTTTGATGTCTATAACAATTTCAGAATCAGATTTTTCTCCTGATGTTTGCTGGTTATCGTCAATAGCTACGTAACGTGAAAAATTCTCGTCCATTTCATTTTCTTCTTTGCTGATCATTTCTTCGAAACAGTTATGAGCCCCATCTCCGTCTCCATTGAAGCTTCACGTTGACTACATTAGGAAGCTTATCATAGTTTTGCAACACTTCAAATTTATCTTTAAGACTCAAATCCTTCCTTTTCGGCATGCTGATAAAATTTAACACCAAACGAACTTAAAAATGATATATGCTCTAACTTTAACTATAATTTACTCAAACGGCTTAAATAATATGGAACATGCGCACAGACAGTTTTTGGAAATCTATTCATGTTCTCTGTTAAGATAGATAACAAAAGAAGCTTCTCTCCCTTCTATGGTTCATTCAATAAAAAGTAAGATAAGAATTCGACCCCCTGTTGAGTGAGATAGGTTTCTCCAAACTTCATTCAAGTCAAGGAATTAACATTGATAAATTGATTTCTATGAACTCGCCGCTTACCACCCACATTTTTCCTTAACTCTTACACTATGTATATCACAGGAAAGTGCTAACCACACCTGTTTCACATGTTTGTGAGTAACTGTTGCTTTATCTAAAAATATTTTTAAACTTCGAAAAAATAAAATTTTATAAATAAGAACAAAAAAAGCTGGAATATTGCAC